AATATAGCAGAATAAGGGCTTCACAGTTTATAGAGCCAATATATAATTCAGTTATTTTATGGTTAGTGGATAATTCTACTTTTACTACATTGACCTTCATAATCTATTACTCCATTCATTTATGATTATCTTCTGACTTCTACCAAGACGTAGATCGACCAACCAATCAGGCAACAAGTTTAGATGGAGCCCCTCTTATAGGCCTAGCATGGAGTTGGCTCAATGATGGACCCCAAAATTACAGAGTCCCTGCTTACAGGTAACTCTGGGTGGGAACGCTGACATCTACTACTTTTAAGCCCCACGAGGGTAAGAACCCTGATTTTTGTGCCTCAAATTCTATCTCATGTGTTGAGAGGAACACCTGGTGAATCATAGGAGCACAACTAACAATTATTAAATAAGTGAATTAAAGGCCTCAGGGGTCTGTACTATAAATGTTATAATGATAAAATGTCCACAGTGGCCGGTTGGCCAAAGCTCTTACACCTAGAGAATACTGCTGAATAAAGGAAACAAGGGACCCAACTAAGAATGCATATCAATAAAGTGCAAACTAGCCTCAATAGGGAAAGCTAAGTGAAGTTTCAAACCTTTCTTTACACCTGATGTTGGCATAGAAAAGAACTCAGTTAAAAGGCTGTAGCTGGAAAGATCACTCCCCACCACATCCTTTTGTTTAGCAAGCAATAATGCTGATGTAAAGGGTCCAGAAAATGAAAAGCATGCTGCCCAACCACATACTAGTATATTCATCATACTCCCTTCAATAAGTGTGAAGCAGACAAGCCCTTACCTAGATTTCAAGCTGATGAATCATCTGTCCAGTTTCACTAAACCTCAAGGGGCTGTTCAACTAAACCAGGGGCTGAAACCCTGTCAGCCTCCAGATACATTTAAATAAGGACAACATGTTAAAAGGAAGCAGGTGATGAGGTTTCCTGAGGAATCCCTAGTTGCTAAGTGCATTAAAGCCTCCTTCAGTTCAGGGAAAAGAGGCTTTTGATCTCAAAAAGCATGAGAAAATTATTTTGTGTGTATAGATGCTGACAATATCAGATAAACAGAAATATTAGCGATTTCCTATATTTAGGCCATCCATTTATTTATTGAACCTGGGGTTCCTCCTATTCCATTATCCCTATGGAAACACACACACACACACACACACACACACACACACTTCGTCACACACATTAGAAGAAAGAAAATTCCTTCTTCTGGGGAAACCCCTGTCTTGGGAATACTTGGTTGTGCAGCCTCTGAGCCTGCATAGGGTCGAGCATACAAATGGTGCAGTGACTCTTTGGAAGTCACATTTGTCCCTGAAACTTCAGTCACCTGGAGACTGCATGCCTCATTGCCCGCAGCAGCTCAATCCTGACAGTGTAGGATGAGTTTAGAAATCTCATTGGAGCAACACAATTTGAATTGAGCGTTTAAACAGCACAGTATTTGTAGTGCTGAAATAACCATCCTTTGCAATTTTTGCTGATTGTGGACTTTTTCTTTTCTTCTGCTATTATAATAATCTTGCCTTGGTTTGGATATTTTCATGAGAAGAAGATAACAGGGCTCAGTAAACTAGTACATCAGTCAGCTGCACATTCCCATTTTCACACAGAGAAAATCCCTGCTCCTTTTGCTATGCCAACACACATACACACACAGTTCCTGGAATCCCAACTGCATTCATACCCATTACTCTCAGACAGACTCACACAGGGCACTGAGACAAAACTCCCTACATGTCAAAATCAAGCCAGGCTGAAGATGCAGATAGGTGGATATGGCGCCAGGTGGATGTGTAATCAGTAATAAGAAATACATTGAGCCCCATAATGAAAAGAAATCCCCCAAATTGTTCAGGATTCCCCCTCCCCCTTTCCATTCACTGATTTATTAACCCTGAACAAAGATGTAATTGCAGGGTCTCAGGAATCATTTTTTTTTCCTTTTTTTCATTTTTTTTGGCATTTGTTTTGTTTGACTTTGAATATTCTTAATATCTAGTCATACCATTCATTGCCTGTTTTCTTCACTCAGTTGCCCATCTTTCCCCCCCCAAAATGAAAGAAGCATCAGCTTCTGAGTCTTAAAGATGAGTGAGACCTCTGCATTTTCTTTGCTTGTTTAGGGCAAGAAATGAAGTGCTGCCTCTTTAATTGGCAGAAGCATGCAGGAGGAGCATACCTTTAATTTAGTGTTGGGATACCTCACTTGCACCCTGGCTGTTGTCTTATTGGAGACGGCAGCCTGCCTGAGATCCTCTAGCACTGAAATAATATCATCCAGCACGCATTTCTTATCCTGATTTCTCAACACACACAGATGGGAAAAAGTATAATTATAGCCCTTGTGGTTCACCTTCATTTCCAGCACGGCTCGGTGGGTCTGCAGGATCCCCTCAGCATGGAGCAAAATATTGTCCCCGGGTGGGGAGAGGAGGATCACCCTGCCATACCTCCCGGGGGTGTGCAAGTCCGAATAGAGCTGGCTTTTGGACTGGTCCAGGGGGAAAAGGCTGCTGGCCAGGCTGCGCTCGATCTTGGCCAGGCTGTGGCTGGGAGCGACCAGGCGCTCCAGGTCGCTCTCGGGCTGGAAGTGGTTGAGCGCGCTGAGGCCGAAGGTGATGGTCAGGACTGCGGGCACGGTGAGGAAGAAGACGGGGTGCCGGCTCACGCACAAGCCCAGCCTGTGGCAGAAAGACTGGAGCCCTCTGCGAAGCACCTGCCGCAGCAGCATCCTCCACCAGATCCAGCTTGCAGGCGCTCCCGGCCGTCTTAAAAAGCACATGTGACACGTGTCAGCGCCGGGCTACCCGGGTCTCCCGCATCCCGCCCCCTCGGGACCGAACCCCCTCCCCACCGCCGCCGCCTCCCCGCCCCCCTCCGCGCTCACCCCGGACCGCTCCGCCTGGTCTTTCCCCGGCCCCACCTCCATGCGCTCCACTACTCTTTCAAACACTGCAGCAAGTTGCAGCAAGGCGGGCAAATAGCGACGGCGCGCTGCGGGGGCTCCGCGGGGCC